ATTGGATGTCGCTGAAAGATTAAGATCCATGTCAAACTGGGCGGCTGTGGTGGCAGCGATCTGCTAAATTCAGCTCGTGTCATCCGAAGCGCCAAACGGTATTGACTGGTTGACAGTTTCTGCTTAAATCTATTTATGGCTCTGCACAAACTTCTTTCTCATAGATGGAAACACGGTCAGACATCCTGGACCATCTAGGCAAGATGCGATCCCTTATGGGCCTTGTCGAATCGAGTAACTAATGTACCATATCAACCCCAGACGATATTCACATTGCTATACTCTGACACTGATCGACTGATCATCCTGCTCTAACTCAACAAACTCTCGACAACTAACAATCTGTAGCGCCAACCAACGACCCAAGATGCACCTTTCCATGCTGCTTGTCTCTCTGTAAAACCAAATACGAGAACCCATAATTCCACCGACTATCCTGCCGTTTCAAACCCAACCAAACATGCCACCCCAATATGCGTACTAGAATGCTGCGGCCCTCCAGGACGAAAAGGTCCTGAACATGACTAACATAGATGCAAGTGCAGTTTACCTGCTGGATTCAATGCTTCGTGACGTTGTCGTGATGTTCATCAAGATATGTGATTGGAGCGGGGATTTCATAAGTGCAAAACCTGCGGAAAGAACAGCTGAGAGAACAAGGCTAAAACTCAAACCAAGCAAAAACAAAAGGCAAGGAGACAATACTCGACGCAAAAAGACAGTTGAAACAAAGGAAAATGAGCAGCGACCTTCATCATGGGGGTAAAGGTACCACGTGAACACCATCCGAATGGCCCTCGAGAATGGAATCGGTCGGAAGATGTTGCGAATGGTGTGTACCCCCAAGGCCGTTTGCGCCCATTGTCAGGGTGGTCGAGTACTTGCCGCATCTATGCTTGCCTGCATATGCGGCGGGGGAGTCGTTGGCTTGACTAGATGTCCGGGCGGCGGCGGCGACTTGAAGGAATTGGGCGGTGCAGGCGGTGGCATAGGAATGGGTTCATCGTCGTACTCATGACCTAAGTAGTCGTCGTCATGCGCTCCGTGGCCGGCGACAGAAGAATGATCGACGGATGCGCGATCGTATCCTTGATCATATGCCGTCTGGTGAGCCGCCGCGCTTTTCGCCGCATTCTTAGTGGTCTTCTTGCCCTTGCGGCCCTTCATCTTGGCCTTTTCAAGCAGTCTCTTCTTCTCCGCCAGTCGCTTTCGCTCTTTGCGATCCTTGATCTCGTATTGCCGAATTAAGGCCTCGGGTGGCCGACCAAAAATGCTCTCGTACTCGCAAAACTCGCAGATCCAGATATCTTCAGGACTCGGAGGATGGTGGAGATTAGCATACTGTTGCTGAATCTTGCGTTGACGTGCTGCCAATGCGTAGATGCTTCCCGGTGACCGTCTCTTCTTTTTGCCTGTACCGGGTGACTCGGCACCAGGGGCTTGCTGCTGAGGATGTTGAGGTTGTTGATTGCCGTGCGCCGTCATACTCGGGCTTGTTTGGGTTCCTTGTGTGGAGATGCCTCGCTGGCTTTGACTTGTCGGGGCGAGCGGTGCGGACGAACGCTGCGGTGCTGGATACAGACTTTGTGCCTGCAAAGCCATACCTTTCGACGAATCAGACTCGCAGGTGAATGTGAATTGTGTCTTGGTTGTTGTTGTTGTTTGCTGTTCAAGCAAGCTGGTAACCCCCTGGCCTCGTGGAGGAGAGGAAAAGGCCGCAGCGTTCGCTATGGCGGCGGAAATGATACCCTGGTCGGATTTTACTGTAGGGTCACCTAAACGCGGAGTGAGTGAAAATCACCGGGATGTGTTAAATTCCAAAGGGGAATGATAGAAAGTACCTGCGGGTGCCGACGTGGATAACATGCCATCCCGGCGACCTGGTGCTCGGGCCGCGGGCCAGCCAATCTGAGAATGGACCGACAGGGAGTTTCTTGACGGACCACTGCGAGATGGATGCCGCCCAAGACGCCCTCTACCGGGACCCGAAATACCACCGAGTCCAGGAGACGCGGGGCTGCCGGTACCATAATATGTGCCAACGTTATTTACTTCGTTGATCGTGGTTGACGACGCCTGTGCGGAGCTTGACAGCCCCATGTTTGCAAATTCAGGGGAGAGTGTGGAATGATGACTGCCCAAATTTCCGGGAGTGGGGATTTTGCGCTTCTTCTTGTTGTTAGTGTTCTCGAAGGCATCATAACCGTCGGGACCTGTCGAGGAAGACTTGATCGGTGATCCTTCTACCTTGCCAGAAGGTGCATGCGGTTGAATTCTTGAAGCAGACGGCGAGAGAGACGACCCGCGAAAACCGGCACTTCGACGAACCACAACCGGACCGTCCTCGTCACCGCTCTCTAGATCGAAGCTGTTTTCATAGGTGTGGTGTGTTTCTCGCTCCGCAATACGATCATGCGCGTCCGTGTCTAGACTCTGTTGCACGTAGACTTTGCTGTCATTCACAACCTCTCCATGGTCCGCAGAGGTTCCGTAGAAGAGTTGGGTCACTGGGGGTGCAGGAGGGTAGAGGATTGAGTCAGCGGCCTCGGGCGATAACCGAGACCGTAGGGTCCGTTTAGGAAGGGGCCGAATTAGCCTGTCCGGATAAACAGGCGACGGAGTATCTGGAGCTGAGTTATACATCCCATCTGCAGGCGGACAGAATCAGCAACGGATCTAGCTGGCAGTGGTCTTCTCTCCTCTCCAAACACTCCCCATCCGGCTGGTGCTGGACCGGCATGATAAGACGTCCAGAAGAGAAGACATCCTTGATGAGAGGAACATACTCAACGTAGCAGTCATCGTCATGCAGGTATCTCAGCTCAGTAACCGTCGACGACCACAGCCGAACGGCGGGCTATTTTTTTCGGTTCCCTGTCCCCTGAATCACCGTGCCCCACAACTAGGTATCGAAGGTCCTCTGAGACTCTCGGGCAATTCTATTCTTGCTTCTCGACCTCTTCTTCGTCCCCAAAAGTCAGACAACACTCCGGAGTCAAGAATATATGACGGTCTGCTGGTCGCGTTGCGAATACCGAGTAGGGAAAGAGAGGGGGGTGGGATGAGAGCGGAGGAACCTAAACCGAAGTAGTTTGGCACCCACAAGTTAGTTGTCACCGTTGGCAGGGCCCCAGAGAACATCAAGAGTAATCACGGCTTGGATCAAGATCAAGCCACAGGTAGCGAGAAAGCCAAAGCAATCCGGATAGTATTGTTCAACGAAGTTTGATGCAACTTACAAAACGAGTGACCATTAATCAGCACTAAACACCCATGCAAAATTTTTGGAGAAATAGCCGGACAAGAGGTGCGGGAAAGACCCAGTAGAAACCCCGGTGTCACGAAGATCTGCAGAGACCCAAAGGCTCAGAGAAGAAGTGAATCAGAAGAAGGGAATAGTAAGTAAAAGAAGTATTCACAATCAAAAGGAGCTATTGATAGGGGAGAAATGATGGACGATGGAGGGGTGAAATTGACCATAAGAGTAATAACAACCTATCTCCGTACATGATAGTTCTTTTTGGAGCTGCGGGTTCTCGCCCTGAGGCTCCGATTTGGCGCCTGAGGCCTCAACAAGCACTATTCCTTTTCGGGACCGAACAGTCTCCATTGCAAGCAGGATACCACATTTTCTATTTCTACAAATATTCCCTGAAGATGAGTTGGGAAGTACTTTTCAACCGTTTCGATGATCGTTTGGCAGGACGATTTTTGTTTTCAAGACATTCACCAGATACCTCAAGAGTTGTGAAAATGCTCTAGCGGATGGCAAGTTCAACGATCGAGTCCAGCTGTTGATTAGTGCTACCGTCTACAAGCTGTGAATCGAAACAGGCACCATACCGTCACTGGTCTCAAGGACAGCTCTCATGCATTGGTTACCTTCATGTGATGCTCTCTCCCAGTCTCAAGCGGTCTATGGGCAACCATTCCAGCAGGAACACGCTATGGTACTTCCGCAGCTGAAAGCTCATGCACTCGTAAGAACAGGAGCAGTAAGATGGGATCAATCTTCCATAGCTGAACAATTTCATCGAGTTCTTTCAGAGCCCACACGCAAATGTGGTGATGAAACGAGGCTCTCTTCTTGTATGATGACAACATCCGCAAGGATTAAAGTTCCCTGAACGGTCATGGAGGACCGCTTCCTCGCGACAATTCCTCTAACTACCTGGACAGTGGGAGAACTCAGTTTTCACTGTCCACCAAAATGAATCGACCCAACTCCAGTATTTGTTTAAATTCGAATCGGTAAGTAGTAGGAGGCAGGCTGTGGACGTCGCGTGTGGTCGACGCTTGATAAGCGGGGTTTTCTAGTGGAATGAATGGCGGAATGGACGATGCCATCATCGGCTCTGTCAAACCAGGTCAGCAGTCTCAGTCATACACCATCGCAAGCAACTCTGCGCTGAAAAATCCGAGAGAGATGTAATGTGAACATCAAGAAGATGATAGCAATTACTTTGCAATAGTTGAGTCTCGAGGTTCGTGGAGCGCAAAAAGAGACCTGGTAGATGGTGAGCGGGGAAAGCCCGGCGAGGAGAGAAAAAGAAACCCGCTTGTGGTCCGCCTTTTTATTAGGATTGTTACTGCTAGTACTGCTACTGCTACTGCTACCGAACTGGCTTTCTCCTCCCCCCATCTCATTCTTCTTCTCTTGTCTCCCTCCCCTCCACCTCACAAATAGAAATCTGCAGATTATGTAGTCCTCGGCTCAGACTCGAGCTCGCAGACGCTACTTTTTGGATTCTTTTTCAACCTCGTGTCTCAGTCGCCAGCTCCTACTCTTTGCCTTGCCGGTCCTTTCGCCCTCTTTTTTTCGTCTTTCCTACGAGTCGTCGCTGTCGAATCCCAGCTTCTTACCCGCGTGCGACTGCTCGCACATGGGCAGCATCTGCTTATAATTGTGCCTTGCTGACTCTTATATACTTAACTTATCCTTAATCTTCGTCCCATTGTCAGAATTTTATTGTACTTCATCCGCTTCGCAGTCCTCCACCATGACTCCTCGTCGCTCTTCTCGTGCCCGCACCTCCCAACCCTCGCCCGCCATCCTTCAGCATACAAATTCCTCCAGCTCGTCGAATTCCTTGACTCGCGAAAGAAGCACTCGGTCGAACCATAAAATTTCGTCGCCTCAGAGATCTTTGACCCAACGGTCTCAGTCCATTGATGATGCAGACAGTGCCGCAAGAAACGACTACCCACAAACGCGGCAGCGCCAGCGTTCCCGGGGAGATGATGACAATCTGAGATTGAACGGGGAGGAAGATGAGGATGAAGACGGAGAGGGTGACGAAGAAGAAGAGATTACCCGATGTCTTTGTGGGCAGCAAGACTACCCAGGCCTGCCTCCCTCTCGGCGGGAGGCTCTCGGTCGCAATGGGGTGGCTGTTGGGTTCAAGGATCAACATGCGTTGAATCTTTCCGCAGATTCATCGGACCTGATGTCCGACGACATCGGTAGCATGTTCATCCAGTGTGATTCCTGCAAAGTTTGGCAACACGGTGGCTGTGTGGGAATTATGGATGAAGCGATGAGTCCCGACGAGTACTTCTGTGAGGAGTGTCGGAAAGATCTTCACAAAATCAAGAATGAGCCCAACGGGTATGTGTCTTCAAACATCTTTTCTACTTTCATTTCAAGGATTTGCCCTTCTATGATTTACTGCGTCAATTCGGCCTTGAATTGCCCGGACGATACCGTCAGGCTCTTCGTTACCCGTCGAGGCTGAGCCAATGCTCTAAATTCTCACGCACCTCAACCGCGATGCTCTTACGTGGAATCATCTTTCAACTATATTGCCGTCGTGCTTACACTTTCGCAGACAATATTCATCGCAGTACCTCCCAGTCGCCCCCGTCCAATCTTCCCCTGCAACCTCCCGTGACTCGTCCCGTGATAATTCGCGACGGGCAAAAGACTCCAAATCACGACAGAGCGAGTCGATTGCCAATCCGAAACGCAGATCAACCATGAATAGTCGTGATGCGGCTTATGACGAAGAGGAGCAGCTCCGGCGAGCGATCGAAGAGAGCAAGGAAGATACTCAGCCCCCTGCAGAGGACATTACTCTCCGACGAGGCAAGCGGAGTCGAAGTGACAGCGAAGCGTGAGTTCGATGACGGCCTTTCCCAAGTAACATTTGTCTTTGGTGCTGCTGCTGACCCGTTTTCCCCGCCTAGTCACAAGCAGGTGACGAAGCGCCAGCGTACAAGTTCCCCTTCACCAAGCGCTATCTCAAAACCAGAGAACACAGAATCTCAATCTGCATCAGAAGATGAGTCGAAGACGAAAGTTAATGGCAACGGCACAAAAAACTCTAGGGTGGCACCGCGGGGTCATCGTGAAAAGCCCATCAAAGAAACAGAAGAACCCGAAACAGACCCCGCGGAGATTGCGAGCCGTAAGAAGGGAAAGGTGGAGCGGCGAAATGGTGAAGGTAAAACCCCTGTAGTTATCTTGGGATTCCTCGACCTAACACATTTTCAACGGGCAGATGCCGACCGTGAGATGGCATCGCCGACCAAAGCCACTGCGGAGGACCCTGAGCCTCCTCAAACTAGCCCGGAGACCGCTGCACCTGCTCCGGAACCTGCTCCCTCCCGTCCGTCAACCCGCAAGTCTGGACGCCCACCTGCGCGTCGTGGTGGCAGGGTCGGACGTAACCAATATACGAGAGATCGAGATATGAATGGGGCTGACTCTCCACGCCGGGGGCAATCACACGATATCGGTGGGGACTCGCCGAGAGTGGGGGCAGTCAACGGAGCGCACTACAATGTAGATTCTGGAAAACCGAGCAGGCCGCGCTACATGAACCCTCAACGGACTACCATGAACGAGATGAAGAGACGAGTTGCTGGAATCCTTGAATTCATCTCGCGGATGCAGGTCGAGATGGCTGTTGCCGGCGAAACTTCCACCCCTCCCGGCAATGGAGACCAACCAAATGGCTCTCTCACAAAGGCCACGATGGATCAAATCGAGACTGCATTACTTTCGAATACCAACGAAGTGGAGTCAGGGACATCAAGCGTTGATAGCGAAACAGGGTCTGGTCAGGCTTCCAAGGAGAAAGAGTTCAAAGATCTGAGCAGTGTTGAAATGATGGATGTCCTCACGCGTCATCTCCTGAAGTGGCAACAGGAATATGGCAAATTCGGGGAAAGGTGACAATCCTTGTCAACCTTTCTGACCTGAAGATGTCCTTCCTCGATTCGTGTTCATGAGTATAAATGTGCCTCTCTTCTTGGCTGGTTTCCACTTGGGGCTTTGTTATAACGATACCCTGTCCGTCTCTTCTCTCCGCATGTGGACATGTACAATATGGCTTCTGGATCATCCCTTTTTTGCAACTTGATCGACTTACGGCGTTACCAGGATTTCACGGCGTCAGCACATTTATCTCACTGAGTGATCCAGCATTTTGATCCTCGACCTGCGATTTGACATGTTGAATCATCTCCTTCCGCTCCGCTTCAGATAATGCTTTCCACCATGATACACTGGTTATGTGTTCGGCGTATGCTTTTCTGCTCGTATTTTCTTCAGAATCCCGGTAAAGATGCTCCTGGGCAGACGGCCTTGGTTCATCCTCCTCTTTTCTTTGTTCCCTTCCCCTCTCTTTTCTGTTCTTTACCTCTTCTCCCTTCCACCTTTGCTATTTGATTTTGCTACGAGTCTCTTATGCACTTGCTTGCAGAGAGGGGAAGGCGCAGGTTGTACAGAATCGACTCTTTGCTGTTCATAGGTTTTTCTTTCTTTGTTTCGGCAGGTCAGGTCAGGAGTATATGGATGGACGGACAGGCTTGGTTGCTTTATTATATTTGGTATATATTGTTGATGTCGACGCTACTCTAGTTTGCTAAGTGAACTATATGAATTGAATGTTTCAACTGATAGGACAGGCAACAACCAATCGCTGGTAGAGCGATATAGCTAGATTGGTGATGGCCAGACGTTCTTGAACTAGCGTCAACAATCACAACGACTCTTCACATGGAAAATATACAATGACAGTTAATCGATAATGTAGCTGCGAGTCTGCAGAATTCACTTCTTAGTATGCGATCAAGGGGACGTAAGTAGCATTATGATCTAGCTGTAGTTACAAGTGTGGCCATGACTGGTACAGGAAAATCTGGGATGAACCAAGAAGTTGTGCTTGTCATTTTTCTTTTTCATTTTTCATCAAGAGGCCATTCCAATCGTGTAGTCCATCATGTCAGATACAAGCAATTGCCATACCATACAAATTATCGTTTTCGCTCGGCAGATAGAAGATTCGTAACTGAAGAATGACGTCAGCATCATGTGATGGAATTTCCCCTGGGTCAAAGCAACAACCATGGTTCATTGGACCATAGTGCATGGGTGACAAAGCGGATAAACTAACCTGTTCCGTTTTCCCAAGGACTAAGCCCAAAGAGGCTTAGACGCTTACAGACGGGAACCGTGGATGACCTTGTAGTCAACGACGAGCTCACGACCACCATCGTTGATGACGAGAGCACGGACGCTACCGCGGCCCTCAGAGAAAGCATCGCGAATCTTGCGGAAAAGCTGACCCTGGGTGACGACGGGCAGGGCCTGCTTGACATCACCAGTCTCGGTCATGGCGGTGAGGGTGCTATCCTCGTGGAGGTCCAGAATGCGGTAGGTCTTGTAGACCGGACCGAGCATGGTCTGAACGACAACCGAGGGGGAGGGGTTGGAGACGAAACTGGACTCCTCCTGCAGCTGACGGGTGAAAAGGTCGACACCTAGGTAGCGGTGTTGGCCGGTCTGGGGAGAGACGGAGATCCGGATCACCTGGCAGGGACGACCCTGGAGAATCAGGATGTCGCCGATGCGGATGAAGTGGCAGGGGATGGGGACGGATTCCGCAGTGGTACTGCTGGCGCGAGGCTCGACGACACGGACATCCTCACGGACGCCATCACGGTAACGAACTGGTCCACGTTCGTCAGCGATAACTACTTCCTCACGATCGTGGTGATGATGGTGGTGGTGGAATGGATGCGTGATGCGGTCGACAGCACGCTCCACACCACGGCGGAAGGAGTGGTAGTTACCGTCGTCGTCGTAGTAACCCATCTTGCGAGCAGGGGGCTGGTCGATAGCGGTGTAAGGCTTGAGGACCTTGACTTGAGAGATCGAAGCGACGGAGGAAGGTCGAGAAGGAACAGACTCTACAGTAAGCTCACGGCGGCTGAAGGAGTCTCCCTTGCGAGTTTCGAGAGGGTTAGGAGCAAAGGCCTTGTCGTAGGAGACGTCGATCTCGGTCTTAGACCGCTGGGCAGAGACGTCGGAAATCTGTTGGGGCTGGTAGGCTTGATAAGAGTCTACGGGAGCTTGGTGACGACCGTACGAAACGTTGACGTCGTAAGTAGGATCGGTACGACGACGATACTCTCGCTCAGTGATGTCAAGCTGGGACTCAAGGGCCTGGTCGTAGACGGGCTTGGGATGTAATGGTTCGTAGCGAGAAGTGGGTTCACGGTATCTGGGGGTGGGAACGGGGGAGAATGTTAGATCCTATCCGGGAGAGAATGATAAACAAGAAATAGGAAGACAAGACAACCATGGATTGGGGGACACGAGAGGGGGGAATTGGGTAAGGGAACAGGCGGACACCGCTCATTGGATGTCAATTTCTTTTTTGGGGGTGCATTTGTTTTGATTTGGCTGCATTTGTTTTGGTCTTTTTGTGCCACGTAAATAGATTGGATGGAGCGGCTATCAATTTTGGCCCGGCCAAGCAAAAGCACCGGGCCTATTGCGTAAATTGATAGCTCGCAATTTCTCATCCGCTCTAGACTAGGCTTGTGGTGCCACTTTCTCGGCTGATGCAGCCTTGGAGGCGTCACCGCTTCTTCTGGTGCTTGTATTGTTTTTGTTTTGTTTTTGATTTGCTTTGTTTTCGCTGCTTTTCCCCTGTTGCCTTGTTTCTCTCACTCTCTCCACTTTTCCAACTGGAAATGTAGATTGAAGCAGAAGCACGAGGCATTTCAGGGAAAATCAACAGAAAACAAATCACCACACCCCCCAAAAAAAAGATGACAGCCAAAGGAAAGGGAAAATAACAAATGAAAACCAAGGAATCTCCACGAGCCGTAGAAAAAGTAATAAAAAGAAAGGAATCAGTGGGAAGAAACAAATGCTTACCGTTGACGCGAAAGTTCTACCTCAGGAGCACGAGAATCCCTGTGGGCACGGTCTTCGTAGATGACCTGGAAATCGTCACCCTTGCGAGAAGGTGCGGGGAGACGGTCCTTGGTGATATGGATATCGACTTCTTCTCTTCCGTAGACACGAGGGTCGGGAAGAGGAGCAGAGGTTCGAGTATCTTCCCGTTCGACGTGCGAAGTACGATCGAGATTGACTTCTCCCTCTACTCTAGTCAGAGTAGTCTCAGGAACAGCGTCACTCCGGTACGACGACGGGAAGACACTGAAGGGGATGGGGACGCGGGCGTCAAAGTCCAGATTGGCTGTCCTTTGGGCGTCTCTTCTCGAATCCCTTTCGAACTGTTGCGAAACAACTCGAAAGGCGAGACAAGAAAAGACTCTTTACTGGGAAGAGAAGTCTTTCTCGCGGGGAGTGAGAATTAGATTGAAGATTAGATAGATCTAATCCTAATCTGTTGTTGACAGGAAGGGGGAATGTGACATAAACTCAGGAATGCTGGGGAGGAAGAGGAAGAAGGAATGGAAGAGAGAAGAGAAGAGAAAGGGAGAAGAAGAAGAGGATGAGGGGCTTGAAATAGGAAGGGAGAGGCAGTCGTTCACTACTGCGACTGTACTCCGTATCTAATCATAACAAACACCTTACTTTCTACGGAGTACACCCAGGAAACCTCCCCCATACAGCAACAGCATCGTAACATTCAGTCAATCCATCAATCCGTCAATCATCACATCAATTCTTCCATCCAATGCTGCTGCTTCTTGTTTCCACGCGTTTGTTTACTGCGCTTTGCCTGTTTGGGTCTTTTCTTTTCCAGCCTCCCGATCAGAAACGCCCTCTGGGGTTTCAGCTATCCGAGGTTGCGGGTGATAGTCGCTTTCTCCAAACGGTATGAAAGAAAATCACTATTATTCTCGTTGACTCTTGTCTCATGAGGATCAATTTATGCTCAAGGAAAAAGCATGTGCTAACTGCAAAGGGTCATTGATGCTAGATATATATAGCTACTTCTGGTTGACTCCATCGGCCTACTCCGTACATACTGCTGCATACGAACGGCCCCATCAACATATCGGCCAACAATGCTGCGAAATAATACAAATCACGATCAAGTGGTGCATTAAAACATTATTGTTCCATTCAGATGGATGGACCTTCACATGCAAGAGGACGATATGCCCTGGCCCGTGGGATGAGTTCCTCTCCGCTTCATACTCCGTACACCCAATAATAATGATAATGCAATCGGTGATAAAGTCTGGAGGCTGGCCAGCATGGCACTTTACACACAGCTGAAACTCAAAAAATACACCAATCTCCATGGCAACGGTCGAATCGGAAATCTGGATCCCTTGGCGCTACCAGGCTGGGACGATCAACCATGGTGGTGGCTTTTGCGCAGTTCTTCTCCTCACCAACTCAACTAAGCAATTATTGAGCAGCATTGAGCTGTCTCCTCCTGCGTGATGGAGAGAATCAACAGAGAATATGGAAGAGATACTGCTCCTAATTCTAGCTACAGTATTCTGGCAGTTTCCATCGCTCTGGCCCATCTGCAATTGATCCAGATAATATTCGTGGAGCTCCGTCATTGGAGTTGGGGTCTCATCGGCGGGCCCCATCTCACTTCCCGCTGTTCATTGCACGGAGAAGCTGTGGCCTTCCCCCTCTCAAGACCACCAGCAGCTTACGGGCTGACAGCTCTGAACTAAGCGCTCCACCCCAGTGCTCCTGATCTCTGTCATGATTGCTCTAGTTTCACGGGTGCTCGACTACGCGCCCGCCAGCCATCGATTTTCTTGAGCTGTATCCTTTTTCGTTACCTTGCGTTGGACAGCAAGGTAACAGTAATAATAATGGACAGTCGTTCGCCACAGCTTCAACCCAATCTCCGGCGTCGGCTGTCCAATTTTAGACAAATTCCCACGTCAATCGATAGATACGGAGTACCCGACCGAAGGAAAAGCAAGAGGTTGGTGTAACTG